GCCTGAGACAGGAGGACTGCAAGTTCAAAGCCAGCCTCAGTAACTTAGTGAGGCACTAAGCAACTCAGTGAGGACCTCACTCTAAATAAAATATAAAAAAGGGCTGTGGATGTGGCTCAGTGGTTGAGCACTTCTGGGTTCAATCCCTGATACCAAAAAATATAATAAAATAAAATAGGCTGTGGATGTGATTCAGTATTTAAGCCACTCTGGGTTCAATCCCCAGTACAAAAAAGAAAAACAAAAACAAAAATGCAAAAGATAGCTGGGCACCTCTAATCCCAGCAGCTCAGGAGGCTGAGACAGGCCAGTCTTAGCAACTTAGCAAGGCCCTAAGCAACTCAGCAAGATCCTATACCAAATTTTTAAAAAGGGCTGAGGACGTGGCTTGGTGGTAAAGTGCCTCTGGATCAATCCCCTGTGCCAAAAAATTTTAAAAAAAAAGATAGTCTGAAGGTTGGAGAAAAAAAGTCAGATAAGCTAAGACCTAAGACCCAAGGCCTAGGTGGTGGTCACACAGAGGGGCCACAGGGAGGTATTCCAGCTGACAATTCCACAGATTCCAGGCAACAGCCAGCACTAACCACTGGTCACATGGATGAATGAGCTCTCAGGAGGCTCCAGACCTCGGCCACCCAGCTGCCCTGGCGGACTCCACCAGGAACAGAGATGAAGTGCCCCTATCAAGCTCTGCCCAGCGGGAGGTTCATGAGCAAAGGAGGCCACTGCACAGCAAGTGTGTGATATGCCCACCTCGGTTCCCGCGTGTTCTCGGGAGGAGCCTACTGCAGTGATGGACTTCAGATGGATTCTTTTGCTTGCTTTCCTTGGCTGTAAAGTGGAACAATAATTACTATGCCATGGGAAAGTTGTGAAGTTTTAATGAGATGATACTCAGAGGGTAGTTTGGGGTTTTTTTTTTTTTTTTTTTTTTTTGGTACTGGGGATTGAACCCAGGGGTGCTCTACTATTAAGGCACATCCCCAAACCCATTCTTATATTTTATTTAGAGATAGGGTCTCCCTGAGTTACTTAGGGCCTTAAGTTGCTGAGGCCGGCTTTGAACTCGCCATCCTCCTGCCTCAGTCTCCTGAGCTGCTGGGATTACAGGTGTATGTCACTGCACCCAGCCCTTGTTGTTTTTTACTTTGAGACAGGGTCTCCCTAAGTTGTTTGGAGCCTCGCTAAATTGCTAAGGCTAGCCTCCAATTGCAGTCCTCCTTCCTCAGCCTCCAGAGTCACTGTAATTATATGCAAGTGTGACCATGCCTGGCAAGGTATTCTTTTTATAATGGGTCTTCAGTAAACGATATTTAATATTAAAAATAACTAAGGGCTATTAATTTTTAAAATACTGATACAAGAAAAAAACAAAGAAGCATTGTGCAGTGTAACTGTTAGTTCAGGTGGCGGAGTGGGAAGTTCCAGGGAGGGCTTTGTTCCTCAAGGTCTGCCACCACTCATGTGGCAGAAACATAAAGAAGTCACCCGTGACTAGACAGGTTGGATACCAATACCCACTATTTGCTAGACACTGCTCACTAATTTCCTACTTTATGTTATCTCACTTGCTCTTTCAACAGCCAAATGAAAATAATCATATGACTTATTTTTTTTCAGTACGTGGGGATTGGGCTCAGGATGTTCGGAAGGCGGTGCCATTCCGCGGGAGCATTCTGAGTCATTACCCTCCCTGGTTAATGGCCCAGCAAATGGAGGCTGGAGGACACACAGGTTTTCTGGTCACTCTGGTCTGAGTCCAGAGTCGAGTTCAAAACCACTTCTGGCAAGTTGGGGTTCCATGAGCCCCGTCTAACTTGGACAGTCCACAATTCCACGAGTGAATTCGTCCCCTCTGTTGCCCAGCGGATCCTGCTCTCTTGGGCCTCCCATCCCTGGAAGGACAGTGCTGTGTCCTTAGGGGACTAAGATGATGGCTGCCCCAGCCTGACTTCAGACAGGAATTTCACACCTTCTGGGGCCCTAGAGTGCAGGTGGAGGGTGTCTGGGAGAGGAGCCAGGTCTCTGTTAAGGCTGGGGAGGACTGCTCCCACCCAGAGGGAGGCCGGTGGCTCCTGTCCAGCCCTGCCTCCTGTTCCCAGCCTTGCCCTCCGGCCTCTGCCCCTCGTCATTGGAATGCTAAATACAAAGTTGGAGGGGCCGGGGGTATTAATAACTGGGCCAGGACATCCAGGGCCTCCAGCCCATCTCTCAGCGCCTCTGTGCCCCAAGAGGAGGAGGGCAGCAGGATGATGATAGTCTAATAATAGTCGCCATGGCTACCTTGTTTCTGAGTGCTTTAGGGTACCAGGCTGTGGGGACCCAGTTGCTCTCAATGCTATGGCTAGCCCTTCAGGATCTTTGAGTATCTCATTTTATATATGGGGAAACTGAGACTCCTGAGAAGTCAGGTAACTTGACCCAGGTGAGCTGGAAAGGGACACTCAAGTCCCATCTGCCAGCGACATCGAGCCCTTGTCTTCTCCCCTCCTGCAGGTGGCAAAAGCCAAAGAAAGGTGCTGAGGCCCAGCGCCCCGCACCCCTCACACCGCAGCCAGCTCCTTTAACTTCCAGGAACTGGGCTGCCTGGGAGGGGCCGGCAGGGTGGCTTCCAGGAAGCTGGCTTTCCTGTGGATGGACAGCAGGACCTGGCCTGTTGGCTCAGGTCTTGTGACAACCCCAGGGGGCAGGGACAGGGCCAGCCGGGAAGAGGGGCCCTCCCCAGGCTTCTGCAGTGGGGCATCAGATGTCAGAACATCTGTTCCCGCCCAGGAAAACCGCTCTGCTCGCCCACACCCTGCTCACTTCTCCTTCCCTCAGCAACTTAGGGGGGCCTCACTATCACGGGCGTCTCCCAGGACTCAGGGTCAATCACAGGGAGGGGAGAGCAGAGAAGCACATTTGTCTGGGGCCTCACCTGTCACAAAGGCCTTAAATTAAGGCTTTTGACATTCATTTTGGAGGGGCAGTGACACAGTAGTTAACTCATCCTCTGGAGCCACAACTGCTCTTGGGCCACCTCCCTGTTCTGCCATTTAATGCTGGGTGATCTTTGGTAGTTTCCTTAACTTCTATGTGCCTTAGTTTCTCCATCTGTAAGACGGGGAATACCTACTCAAAAGGGTTGGTGTCAAAATTCTATAAGCTGAAATATAAAGTGCATTTCTGTAACTGTAGAGCCGGGCATGGAATACCCACTCAATCAGTGTTAGCTGTTATTTCCAAATGAAGTCACACACAGAATCCTGGACAAAACCGAAAACAGATATTCACCAAAGAAGTTCTAAAAACCATCTCTTATAACCCCACCACTTAGGGCTGGGACGTGGCTCAGTGGTAGAGGGTTTGCCTTGCACGATGAAGCCCTGGGTTCAATCCCCAGCACCAACACACACAAATCCCACCACTCAACACAGTGCCACCACCCCCTCATGCTATTCCCTTCCGGTGTTTTTCTCCCGCTCATCAGTTTTTATAACATTGAACTGACAGTACACTTAAATGCTGTATAACTTTGGGCCTTTTTTCTTTCATTTAGTATTTTACCAGGAGCATTTTCTATCACTGTTCTATAGGTTTTAATTGAGGGTCTTCTATGTGCAGATCAGTGCTCTGGCTCTGGGCCCACCGCCCTTCTCTCCAGGAGCCGACATTCTACTGGCCATCAATTCCTGGTTGAGGACTTCCTGTTTTACATGGAGGTCTAACTAACGTAGAGCAGACCGCACATGCACCAGGGCTGAGGTCGGGTGCATACAGCCACCCAGGTAACTGCCACTGGGATACAAATACCGCACGTTTCCATTGCTCCAAAGGTGTCTTCACCTTCCCAGTCGATAACCACCCCTGCTCCCAGGTAACCATCTAGCTTCTACCAACACAGGTGAGTTTTTCCTGAACAAATTTAACTTGTTTTAAGAATAGATCTGCAGGCTAGGGATACAGCTCAGTTAGTAGAGTGCTTGCTTAGCATGCACAGGGCCATGGGTTCAACCCCCAGCACCACCAAAAAAAAAAAAAAACAAAAACAGATTTGGCCAAGCACAACTAAGGAGGCTGAGGCAGGAGGATCGTGAGTTCAAAGCCAGCCTCAGCAAAATTGAAGCACTAAGCACTCAGTGAGACCCTGTCTCTAAATAAAATATAAATTAGGGCTGGGGATGCGGCTCGGTGGTCGGGTGCCCCTGAGTTCAATCCCCAATACCCCCTGCTTCAAAAAAAAAAAGAATAGATCTGGGGCTGGGTTGTGGCTCACTGGTAGAGCGTTTGACTAGCATGTGTAAGGCCCGGGGTTCAATTCTCAGCACCACATATAAAATAAACAAAATAAAAATCTGATGACAACTAGAAAAATATTAAAAAGAAGAAAAAGATCTACTCCGTTGAGAATGCCCATGTTTTAAAGGCTACAGATGCTGTGGCTCTATAACCTCTCGGTATCCATGGGGATGGATTCAGGATCCGAAGGATGCCGAACTCTGCCGATGCTCAAGTCCCTTAGATAAAATGGCCTAGTATTTGCACATAACCTACGATATCCTCGCATGTACTTGGCGTCATCTCCACATTATGTGTAATACTAAATGCAATGTAAATGATGTGTCAATAGTTGTTATATTGGAACAGAGACGAGGAAAAGATCTGTACACATTCCGTACAGATGTAGCCCTGGGAGGCCTAACTGCACAGCATCTAGGATCAAGGGAGAAATGCTCAACACCTGGAGCTGGAGGGAGACTGAGGGGCTGGGAGCAGGCAGGAGGCTCCCACTTGATCAGCAGACACATGGCTGCAGTCACATGGATTCAATGTGACGCTTGGAGCGTGGTTTGTGAACTTTTTCAAATATTTTCCATCTGCAGTTGGTTGAATCCATGGAAGGGGACCTGCAGCCACAGAGGACCAACGGTATTGTTGGCACATATCTTGCCTTTAATTTCTCATCATCAATAATGCTACATTGAGTGTCACATTTTATTTCCTTACGCTAGACTCTCAGAAGCAGGACTGACTGTTGAGACGGTTCTTGGAAAACCCTGACAGACACTTTATTAAAGGTTTGTGCAGTGCCGCCAGCAGTGAATAGAGGTACCAGCAGGAGGAGCAAACCCTGGGTCCAGGGTGGAACCAGAGCCTCCAGCACCTACCCTCTCCCAGCCCTGGGTTAGCTTCAGCACTCACCAGATGACCCAGGGTGCAGAAGGGCATCTCCATGAGAAGTCTGAACTGCCTGAGAAGGACGCACGCAGCTGTGCTTCTCTGGGCAAAGTCACCACTACAGAAGCTTGGGATTCAGTTTGCCATGTCAGAGCTCTGCTCTGCAGCACGCTGAGAGGGGCCTCACCTTTCATCAACAGACTGACAATGACCAAGCCACGGAGTCAGATGCCATCATAAAGCAGGTGTCGGGCTCAGGAGATACAGAGATAAATGCAGCAGTTGAGGAAATGAAACCACAGTAACCGAAGACTGGCCAAATGACAATCAGAAAATCTCCTGGTAGCTCACTCTGTATTCCCTAGAAAGCAGAGGTTTTGAAGTCTAGATGAATGAAGCCTCCATAAAAATCCAAAGGTCAGGGTTCTGGAAACTTCCAGATAGCCAAACTCATTGAAGTTCCTGGAGGGTGGTGTATCTGGAGAGGAATGAATAGATAGACAAAAGTCAATGGATGGAATGATGAGCCAAATGTGGTAAGCACATACAATGAAATATTATTCCACCTAGAAAGGAATGAAATTCTGACACTTCTATAGCATGCATGAAACTTGAAGACATTTTGCTAAGTGAAGGAAGCCAGTCACAAAAGGAAAAATACAGAGATACCCATGTACTGCAGCCCAGGGGGCCCTCACCAGAGACTGTGCCATGCCCTTGTATCTCCAGAACCATGAGACAAAATAAAACTCTTTTATTTATAAAGAAGCCTGACTCAGGCATTTTGCTAATATAATGAAAAATTGATTAATACACCAGCTATAAGAGGAGGTGAACTTCATGGGAGGTAGAAGAGAGGAAACTGACTCTGGTGACCTATGAGCCACTGAATTAAACCCTTCCTGAAGCTAGCCCTCCCATCTCCATTCTTCTCTGGCACATATACCAAGCATTCCATTAAAGTCAAGTGGAGTTGAGTTCCTATCCTTGTGACAGAAGCATCCAGAGAAGACAGAGGAAGCCCAAGCCTCTCAGAACCTGCAGAGGAATTGACTGACTCCTCTGTTTGAGATGCCCTTGGGACCCTTCCTTGAAGCCTTTAACCCTTCATCACCATGGTTTTCAGGTGGGGACGCTCCCAGAAACTCTTGAGCCTCCATCAGAGGGTGTAGGCCATAATCAGCTGCTCCAGCTATTCTCGGTCTTCACTGATGAGACCACCAGGACCCTTCCAAAGCTAAAACTAAATCTGGCACACGACCTTCTTGGGCCTCTGCATCACTTGTCTGAGGGCCGCATCAGAAACAGACGTTTCAGACTTTTGGATCTAAGCACAGTGGAGGGGGCAGACTGAAGACTCAAACACCAGAGCTGGAAAAATCCCTAGAGATGAGCTAGTCAGATCCCCTCATTTTGCAGATGGGGCTGCAAAGATGGGCCTGGGGCTCCCCGGCCTGGGCAAGAGAGAGGGGGGACACTGAGGAGGATTCTTCCTGCATCCAGAAGTTGCTCCCCACCTCACTCGCTGGGAGGCCTGGCCAGTCATCCTTAATGATTTTATTGTGGCACTTTGTCAACACCTCCTGACTGGCTGTGAGGGTACTAGGTCCCTCACAAAGCAATGATACCTCCAAATTTCTACAGGGCACTTAGCAGTCTGGAGGGAGTGGGAACTAAGATGTGCCTTGGGGACAGGGGGATATGGGAACTCTCTGTAATTTCCACAAAATGCTCTAAAAATAAAGCTTTAAAAAGCGTACCTCTCTGCTTCCTGATTGCCGGGTCCTGAGCCGCTTTCCTCCACCGCGTACTCCCACCACGATGTTCTGTCTCACCTCAGGCCCCAAGGAATGGAGTCTACAGATGGAGGCTTCTGAAACCGGCAACCCCAAATAAACTTTGCCTCCTCTAAACAGACAGACAGACACAAACACACCACATGGAACCAGGAGCCGGGGAATGCACCTGTACAGGCCCCAGTTACTCAGGGGATTGAGGTGGGAGGGTCCCTTGAGCTCAGGAGTTCAAAGTCCAGCCTGGGCCACAGAGCAAGATCCCCTCTCGAAAACAAAATCAATGTGCCACATAGGTATCCTCATCAGACCTGAGTTCAAGTCCTGACGTCCTCCAGCAATGTGACTCTGGACGAGTCCTCTGTCTCAGAACTCGAGTTTCCTCGGCGTCAGAAGGCGAGCGGTTCATGCCTCACAGCTGCACAAATTCCCTGAGATTGAGAACTGACAGCACTTTGCACAGAGCCTGGTACAGGAAGAAATATGAATATTAACTGTATTTTTTTGCAGACTCCAAAGAAGCCCCATTTTATTAGAGCATACAAAGCCCTTTCCTCATAGGGAAAAGTTCTGTTCCCCTCCAGGGTGACTGATGTGCCTCTTCCACGGTTCCCAGCTTTCTGTTCTAAAGATACTGCTCATGTGGGTTAAGGGGTTTATAGAGGTAGCTGGTCCGTTGGGTAAGGCTGTGCAAGTCATCAATGAACATTCGATTTCCAATCATTTTCTTCTTCCGGAGATAAGGCTGCAATTCATTTCCCTTTCAGCCTCAAAGCCACATGGGAGCTTTGATTAGTTTTGGGGGGTGCATTTCCAAAGTTTCCTAGGATCTTGGTGCAACCACTCTGAAAAGCAGTATGAGATTCCTCAGAAAACTTGGACTGGTACCACCATTGGACCCAGTTATCCCACTCCTTGGTATATACCCAAAGGACTTAAAATCAGCATTCTATAGTCAGTTGCAGTGGTGCATGCCTATAATCCCAGTGGCTTAGGAGGCTGAGGCAGGAAGATTGGGAGCTCAAAGCCAGCCTCAGCAACTTAGTGAGGCACTAAGCAACTCAGCAAGATACCATCTCTAAATAAAACATAAGAAAGGGCTGGGGATGTGGCTCAGTGGTTAAGTGCCCCTGGGTTCAATCCAGTACCAAAGAAAAAGAAAGAAAATTTTTTAAAAAATCAGTATACTACTGTGATCGATGCAACCACATCAATGTTTATAGCAGCTCAATTCACAATAGCTGAGTTATGGAACCAATCTAGGTGCCCTTCAACAGATTAAAGGATAAAGAAAATGTGGTATTTATACACAATGGAATATTACTCAACCTTAAAGAAGAATGGAATTATGGCATTTGCTAGTAAATGGATGAAACTGGAGACTATCATGCTAAGTGAAATAAACCAATCCAAAAATCTCCAAAGGCTGGATGTTCTCTCTGACATGCAAATACTAACTCACAATTGGGGGGTGGGTAGAACTTTATTGGATTAGATAAAAAAGAATGAAGGGAAGGGAGGTAGGAATGGGAAAGATAGTAGAATGAATCGGACATAACTTTCCTATGTTCATATATGAATAAACCACCAGTGTAACCCCACACCATGTACAACCACAAGAGTAGGTTCCTAATTAGAATAAGTTTTACTCCATGTATGTATGTCAAAATACACTCTACTGTCATGTATATCTAAAAATAATTTAAAATTTTGAAAAACAAAGTTTCCCAGGATCCTGATGTTGTCATATACTCTGAACATGGCCCTCTTCTTGTTCTACTGGCCATTCTCTTTGCAGGACAGGAGGTGAGCCTTATACAGGTGACCAATCAGGGAACACCCAGAGAGAAGATTCTGCGTGCAGGTCAAGGGCATCCAGGCCCACAAGCCTTTGCCCTTGCTCTAGACTCTCTCAAGGGCACACCAGAAGAGGGTGTCACCTTAAAGGAGATGACAAAGGGAACCATCTTCACTGAATACACATGCGTATCAAGCTGGAGGTGACCATCTCTGAATATTAACTTTTATTTATATTACCTACTTCTATTAATTTATCTACAGTTTATATGTGAAATGGCTCCTTGATAACCTGCTTCCTGTGGATGCACTCTAACTGGGGGCGTTTCCATTTGACCATGTGATATGTTTTGTGGACACAAAAAATAATGTTCAGAATCACAGTGATTTATGGGGCTTGGGACTTGGAATCAGCCCAAAGGCTCGAGGAGTTTAACTCTGCCAGTGACCTTTTAGTAACCTCAGTTATTCAGTCCTCCTGAGTTTCTGTTTCTTCAGCTATAAAAACGCTATCCTAGTATTATTCACTTCTTGGGTTCTGGTAAGACAAAGAAAGGACTTGACCATATCTGGAATTCAGACCTGTTTTAGAAAGGCAGGGGCAGTAACTGCACTAATGAAACCTGCCACAAGAGGGCAGGAGTGCTACATCTAAATTCCTACCTGGCCAAAGCAGGCATTTCATGTTTTGAACATTTTTTCTTTCTTTCTTTTTTTTTTTCTCTGTGGTACTGGGGATTAAACTCAGTGCATGTGAGGCAAGCACTCTACCAACCAAGCTAGATCCCCAGCCTCTGTCTTTTTTCTTTTAGAAAAAATTCACGCACAAAAGTTGAGTGGTATAACTAACCTCATGTACCCATAACTGCATTTTAACAAGGATCACTCTTTTGCCAATCTTCCTCTTTGCTGTGCTGCTTGAGTACATCCCAGGCCACATTTCATTCCACCCATTGTGCATCAGTGGGCTGCTCCAGTTGGAAAAGACTCATTCCACAAGCACCATGAATTTAATCTACAAATTAAGTTCATCTTCAAATTTCCAAATTGTACCAAAGATGTTTTTTGACTGTCAGTTCACTAGAATCCAGATCTAAATGATATTACAGCATTTGGCAAGTCTGTTGAGCTTTAGGTTTTAACACTCTATTCTCCCTTTGTAATTTAAAGCCATGATTGTGTTGGAGAAGCCAGGAGACCTGTCATACAGAAGGTCCCACATTTTGAGTTTGCCTGATTGTGGTCCTTGTCTATCCCCTATAATTCTGCTGAACGGGTCATCAGATTTTGGCTTGATAGGCTTAGATTCTTTCATTTTTAAGGCAAGAATACTTCATGGAGACAACTGTGTCCTCATCTAAGTGATTTAAAAATTGGTCAGTGCATTCAGACAAATGTTAGCCTAAACTCTGCATTCATTACAAAGTTACCAAAAAAAAAAAAAACTTTCATCCAATTGTTTTAGCATCATTTAATGTTCATTGCCCGGACTCATTATTTCATCACCATTTGAAAAACTGCTTTTATGGAACTACCATTTCTTCTGTGTTCATTAGTTGGAATTCTTCTACAGAAAGTAACCTTTTCTTACCTACTATTTCCTTACCTGGAATACAATACATAAAAAACCCAGAAAAGTAGCTATTTCCCCTTATGCTGGTGGTAACGAATGAATTGCTTTTCTTATGTGTAATTATAAGTTCATGGATTTTTACAAGTTTTATGTGTTAAAATCTACTGAATTCTTTTTCTCTTAGTGCTTAATTGTTCCATCTTTGGTCAGTGGGGCCCCCTTAGAGTGGTTCTTTGGCATGTACCCCATCTTTAATTGTTTCCTGGCTTCCAAGCATAAGATGACCCAAATTTATCTTTCTTGCTCCAGATCTGGAGTCTGACAATTACCAAAGACTTTATTTTAATTTTTTTAAACTAGAAAATGGGGGGCTGGGGCTGTAGCTCAGCAGCAGAGCACTTGTCTAGCATGTATGAGGCACTGAGTTCCATCCTTAGCACTACCTAAAAATAAACAAATAAAGTAAAAGCATACTGTCCATCTACAACTACAAAAAAAAAACAAACCTAGAAAATGGATCTCAGAGACAAATCTGTGCATGAAGAGTATTCTGTTCATCACTACTGAATTGGTCATTGTTTGTGGGCCTTTTCAGGAGAGCTGAAAAACACATTTCTTAAGAGAAAAATGCATTTTTTTTTTTTACTGCTACCTAATTCAGATGTTTACCTTAAGCTTCTTTTATACTTAAAACTTTTTCTCATATATTGAAAAAATCTTGGTTCCCAATGCTACTAACATAATCACTTATTTACTTTATCTCACAGTATCAATTTCAAAACAGCAACATCAATATTACAACTAACAATAAAACTTAAGAATATAATTGTATTTCTATGCTGTTTTAATTGTTCTTGGACTATATCTCATTAGGGTGGTATAGTCAAAATACTTCTAAAGCCATATGAAATAATTTTCTTGAAGTGGCTATGCCACCAATCTGAATGATAGATGGTTCATTTTCAGGTGTTTTTAATTTTCATGTAGTGTTTCATGCTTTTTTTGAACTATTTTACAAATATGCAAAAACATTTATAAGTCTCCAGAATAATAACTAAGAAGTCTCATTTGCATCCTTATCCCCAATCTGCTCATAAGCAACCATTTTAGAAATCTGGGATTTATTCCATTGTTTGTCTTTTAAATATGAGTAATTAATATATTTCTCTCCCCCCATTACGCACACAGAAGATATCAAGCACAAAATAAGCACTAATATACATCTTGCTTATTCATCTAACAACATATATGGAGATCATACCATATAAATATGGTGATCAGTATATAAATCTTCCCCATATCTTTTTATGGCCACATAATACTCCACTCTGTATGTATTATATTCAACCAGTTCTTTAGTATCAGAAATGTGAGCATTAATGCACACAGTGTTGCTGTATTTTAGCCTATATTGCTAGGATAAGTTTCAAGAAGTCTAAGGTCTGACCTACTGGGTCAAAGGGTAAATACATATGTAATATGGCTATATCTTGCCAAATTTCTTTGAGAAAGTCTATCATTTTGCCTTCCCATCAGCAAGGTGTGAGATGCTGGCCTCAGGTGTATTTTTATACCATATCAAATTGAGGAGGCTGCAGAGATGAATCACAGACAAGGGTCTTGTTCTCAGGAATTCTTGTTTAGAAGAAAGCAAACAAATAACAAAATAATGATATACCATAATAAGCAGGGACAGATTTACCCTGAAGCTAATAAAACTTAAGCTTCAGAGTCCTCACTTGCAGGGACCCTTTCAAATGTCCCAACAATGTGTTCTCAGAGTCACTTTGTCATCTTTTTCCTAAAGAGGACGCCCCCAATTATTTAAGTTTCAGGCTAAGCAACACTTAAATCCACCTCATCTAGAGTCAGCCTATCTAGTGGGGGAAGGGATTTCAAATCTGTTCTGCAGCCAGCTTGAGAGAGCTTGAGAAGAGGGGCTCCTATATTTAATGACTGAGACAGACAAAAGGAAAAGGTCACTTGGACCAAGCAATCTGACCCATCAAAAAGCCACACTGGTATCTAACCAGCTGTCTACAGAGCCATCCATAATCTCCCCTACTTTCCAGGGCAGGAAACAAGTTTTGGCTGGTGTCAGTATTTCCAGCAAACAGATGAAGACAGGTATAAAAATGGCACTGGGTACAAAAATCGGAACAGATCACCATCTGTGTTTTTTGTTGCTGTTGTTGCTGCTGGGTTTGTTTTTTTTTTTTTTTTTTTTTTGGTGGCAGGGAGAGTTGTGACACCAGGGAATCTGGTGTTCAAAACTGACTCCTTTTGGTCAAATGAGGCAGAGGTTGGCTTCCTTCTCTGTAAAAATAGGGTTAGTAATAAAGCCTCCCTCTTGTGAGGTTTGGTTAGCTTGAGAGAGATCATTTACATAAAAACCTAACCTGGTCTCAGACTCAGAAGGCCATATTTGGAAGACAAGAAATAAAATGGTCGATCCTAAGAGCTGAGACAGGAATTCTTCCGTCCATTATGCCTTAGACAGTACTGGAGCAAGAACCCCCACCTTCCTCACAAACCCTAGGTGCAGGAGAATCGGGGAAGGAGTGGACATTTCTCAGGCTTACTGATGTGTGTAACTAACTGGATGGCCGATTGGTCCAGGTCTCTGAGTGACCGTCCGCCCGGGGCTGGCAGTCAGGCCGATGCATGCCGGGATCTCATTGACAGATGTGGGGTAGCCGAAGGACTCCGGCGGCCAACGCGCCCACTGAGTGCTCGCCCCCAGGACAGCCGTCCTGGCTGTCAATCCCGGCCTAGCCGGGCTCAGACCGTGGCTCCTTCTGGCGCGCCGTCCCAGCTGGATTCCGACCCTCTTCTCGGAACCCTCCAGGCCGGGAGTCGCCGACGCTGCAGCCAGGTGCGGGCGCCCCCGCGCCCTCCCTCCCGCGCCCGGTAGGGCGCCCCGACTCCCAGCGGCCGAGGAACAATGAGGCGCGGGCTTCTTTAAGGGAGATACCACCGCGCCGGCGGAGCAGGGGACGGCGTCTTCCCAGATGATCGCACCCAGCCCCGCGCCGCCGCCTCGGCAACAACGCCGCCCGCAAACATGGCTCAGTGACTCGGACAAAAGGTGCAGCCTCCCTCCCGGCGGGGCGCACGTCAGGCCTCCCAGCTCAGGCCTCGCCTCCCCGCGACCGCCGCAAAGCTCCGCGTTCCGAAGGTGCCCCGGGCCGGCGCGAAGGAAGATGCACCAGGCGTCCAGCCCCAGCGACCCCCGCACGCCAGCCCGAAGCTCGGTAGGTCGGAAAGGGGCGGGCAGGCCGCGGCCGGGCGCGCGCACCGCTAGGCCGCGACCTGCCGCCGCAGACCCTTCCCGGGGCCGCAGGCCGTGCGCGCCCGCCGTGGGTATGGGGCGACAGAGCCCGGGCGTGAAGCGGTCTCCGGGGTCGACCACCCCTGCGGGGAGGGGCGCCAGTGGTGCGCTCCGGAGCGCGCACACCTCCGGCGACTCCGGGCTCCGCAGAGCCCCAGGATCCGGGCGGGAGCGGGGAGCGGAGTCCCGGGTGCGCGCCCAGTAGGCGGCGCTCGGCGGAGCGGCGCGCTACGGAAAGCCGGAGGGAGGCGGGGCCGCCGGCGTGAGGGGGTGTGTCTGCGCGCACCACGGGGGCGCGCGCCGGCCTCTGACTGGAGGCGGTGGTGGCGGAGGCGCGAGCTGCCCGATAATGGCGGCCTGCAGAGCCCATGAGAGGGAGCAGCAGCGGTGGCTACCCTGAGGTAAAGCAGGCGCGTCGGCGTGGCACGAAGGTCCTGCCGCAGAGCCACCGACCCCGCAGTCGCCTCTCCTCCCTGCAGGCCTGTCACAGATCTGTCAGCGAGTCATCGCGGGCAGGGCCCGCGCTTCAGGCCACCGGCCCCAGCTGCGGCCTCTTCTCATGCCAGGGCCACTCCCCGGGCCCCGGCGCTCCGCCCGCAGCCCCAAGGAGTGGAGGCCGCCGCGGGATCGGCTCCTGGGGTGAAGGGCCCCGGGAGGACCCCCGTAGGGTCTCACCGGGCCGCGGCCGCGGAGGGGAAGGCCAGATACTTAGCGAGGATCGTGGCCTGAGCCGCCGTGTCGGGCAGCACCTCTGGCCGCAGCTGGCCCTCCCCCGCCCCAGCAGGTGTATGGCCCGGCCGGCCGGCGTCCAGCGCTGGGTGAGCACAGCAGGCAGGAGGGCCCGGGAGATGCCAGCGTAAGTCATCTCGATTAGCACGGTGTGCACCACCGCAGTGTCTTTTGATCCAGGGTTGCGAGGATTTCAAAGCCACCTTCCTTGTTCCCTATTCAGGAAGGTGCTCCTTCACACGGGGGTCCTCGCACCCGGCGGGAGGTGGGGGGACTGCTTCCGAGAAGCGAGCCACCTGGAGATGCAGAGCAGTTGGCGACCGCGTAGAGCAGACCGCCTGCCGCCTCTGATTCTCTGGCAGGAAAGCAGACACTAGGAAATAGTGGGAATTTGAAGGGTAGGTGACCAATTCGAGGAAGTGGGACTTAAAGCAATCTGAGAAGCAGTCGTTTTCTTTATTGAATCTGCCCTGTAGACATAGAGTAGCTGTTTCCTATTTCTCAGGTTCTACAGTCAGTCGATTTTTGTTTCCCCAGTTGTATGAGATAAATATTGTACAATCTCAGGTTACCTTCTTTGCGCGTGGTGACAACCTACAAATGAGAATTTGGGGGGTGAGGAGGTACACTTTGAACTTTTTCTATTCAAAACATGAGCATGTGTGTTGTAGGGCCTTTGCTCCTACTTTTAAAGGATTTATCAAGTTGAATTCTAAAGAACTTTGTCAGAGAGTTCCTCTTGATGTTGTAGGATAGTTTTTTTGTTTTTGCAAAAAAAAAAAAAAAACTAGAACTAAATAACTATTGTTAGCAATAACAAAAAGGTAGTCATATTCTAAGTAGCTTTATTTAAAAAAAAAAAAAAAAACAGCTCTTTTCCGCGAACCTTATTTTCATTTATTTTGCAGGAAGTAAGGGAATAACCTAAGAAACAAATAAAAATAAACACATATGGTTTGGCTGTTTATGTCTAATAATAAAAACAACAATATTAGTTCTGTAAAATGATCCGGTTCACTTTCAGTCCTAAAACATAAGCCTGGTGTTTGTATTTCTAACTGTGAGGGTTTTCTGTTTTTGCTGTTTTGTGATCTTGTGTGTTGGGTTAGTCTTAAGGACAGACTGAGATTTTGCCTCCCTGTTTGTTTGTTCATGATCAGTAAAATGCTGAATTTGGGGGTTTATTTTTAACAGTCACATTTTCAAGTACTCATTGAAGAAGCAGTATAGCTTAGTGGTCAAAATAATGGATGTCTGAGCCAGATGGCCTGATTTCAAATCCCAGGTTCACCAGTTACTCACTGTTTGACTTTGGGCATTTTATTTAACCTCTCTCGGCTTTAATTTCTTCACTTCTAAAATGACCATAATGTGGGGATTAAATGAATATAATATTGTAATGTGTTTGAAACAGTCCCTAATATGTGGTAAGTGCTACCTAAATGGTAGCTCTATTATTAGAGTTAGATTTGCCCAAGGTATAGAAAATATCCTTAAGTACTACAGGTAATGAACCAGATGATAACTCAATCCCTCTGTACAAGAATAAACACAACCAGTGGGTGTACCTAATTTCAATTGAGCACTTTATTGATTTTTCCAGAAACCTCGACCTTGAAGATGGTGAGTAGCCAGCCAAAGTACGATCTAATACGGGAGGTAGGCCGAGGTAGTTACGGTGTTGTATATGAAGCAGTCATCAGAAAGACCTCTGCACGGGTGGCAGTGAAGAAAATCCGATGCCACGCACCTGAAAATGTTGAACTAGCACTTCGTGAATTCTGGGCACTAAGCAGTATCAAGAGCCAACATCCAAATGTGATTCACCTGGAAGAATGCATCCTACAGAAAGATGGGATGGTGCAAAAGATGTCCCATGGCTCTAATTCTTCCCTTTATTTACAGGTATGTATTTTTGGATGGGAAATAGAAAAGATGTGAACATGACATTGGTCAGCAAGAAGAGGAATGAAAGGGTTGAATGAACTTTTCCTGTTAAATGCAGATGTTTTATAGTTAGGAGTAGATAGAGATCTGCCAAGAATAGAATAGGTGTTTGCTTTAAAACAGGGTTTTATTTAAACTTGTGATGCACATACCTAAAAATAACATAAGCCACCTGTTAGGCCATGGTACTTGCCAGTCTGCATAGGAATGGGACAAGATAGAAACTGGAGAAATGCTTGAGACTATATTTTAATAAGTTCACTTCTTTGAAATAAATTTTTTGGAACTAAAAACTGAAAAAAAGGAAAAACTCCCTTAACTGATAGCGATACCCATAGGTAACTAGACATCTCTTTTATAAATCACGTGTGTAAATATAACCCTTTGCTGTTTTGGAGGGTATTGTGGTTTCTTACCCATGCAATTCCAATTAATTTTTATGAATGTTATTAACAGTGCCGGTATCAACAAATGTCCCTCCTTGGTTTAATACTGTGTGCTAAGTGCTTTAAGGAAAGTTGCTCAAAACAGTCCTATAAGGGGGGCTGGAGTTATGGCTCAGCGTTTGAGCGCTTGCCTCGAATGTGCGAGGCCCTGGGTTCGATCCTCAGCACCACATAAAAATAAACAAATAAAATGAACATATTGGGTCCATCTACAACTAAAAAATGAATATTTAAAAAAAAATCCTATAAGGTAACATTATCTTCATTACAAATGAAGACATTGAGGTTTAGAATAATGAACTTATCCACTGACATCTACCTAGCTAGTGTCAGATTGGGAGCTGAATTTAGCAGACTTTTTTATTTTTAATTTTTTTCCATATCAGAGATTGAAACCAGGGGCATTTAACCACTGAGCCACATCCCCAGCCCTTTTTATGTTTTTATTTTAAGGCAGGCTAAATTGCTTAGGACCTTGTGAAATTGCTGAGGCTGGTCACGAACTTACAATTCTCCTGCCTCAGTCTGTGGAGTTGCTGGGATTACAAGTGTGCACCACTGTGTCTTGATAACTAAAGCTTTATGCTCTCTTAACTTCCAGATTACTCTTTTGTAGCATAGGAAAATGGAAAAGCTTTTTTTTTTTTTTTAAAAAAAAAGATTGACTTCTTCTAAAGTCAAAATCCCGGGGCTGAGGCTATGGCTTAGTGGTAGAGCGCTTGCCTAGCATGTGTGAGGCCCTGGGTTTGATTCTTAGCACCACATATAAATAAATGAATAAAATAAAGGTCCATACATCTAAAAAAATAAAATAAAGTCAAAATCTCTTAGAGCTCTCTAGTCACTGAATAGAAAAGATAGTTAAGACCTAGTTAGTTAGGCAAGGACCAGAGCAGAATTTCTTAAGGTCAGTCCCTTAGAAAAGGAAACAGCTTTCCTTGAGTGTATCTACATTCAGAATTGACCATTGGACTTTTAACATTTAAAAGTGTGTTTAATATTGGGGAATTATATTAACTAAATTATATTGTTATATAATGAGCATGTACAAATATGTAACAATGAATTCCACTATTATGTGTAATTATAATGTACCAATAAAAAACAAAAAAAATATGACTTTAAAAATAAAAAATTAAAGTGTGTTTAAAACCACAAAAGCCTTTTGAATAGGAATGACAAAGAAAACAAACTGATATGTGTAATTAGAAACTTGCAAGTATTGTATGGTGGACAAAATATTCTGAAGAATTTATATCGCAACTTAGCACTTTATACACTGAAGTTTTCTCAGCACAATGAATTAACACAACTGTTTGGCCTCTATTGTTTACTTTTCTAAAAGTACTTATTATGTAAGT